ATTCTTTTACTTTGCCCAGGATACAGAGATACTTGTGACCAGCAATTGATTTCAGAGGGTAAAAGTCTGACTTCTCCCCGCTGTGTTTCCTCGACTGAAAAGACGATCAGTGTGGATGGCTAAAGAGGTCCTGCAACTGCCAACGATGGCTGAGCAATCGAATGTGATCGTTAAACGGCGCAAACGTGAGTCAAATATATTATTTCATACCATACATGGAGTTGTTTTAGCATTGCACTTCCGGTGAAATAAATCCTTATAATATTTCACACGTAAAATATAGGCTGATATCTCACTAGTGAAATTAAATATAAAAATGTGCATAAATTACTCGGCACACTATATTCGTCTTCTAACCTACTATAAGCAAAGTATCTATAGACTTAAACTACAATAATATCCATAGACTGTGCAATGTTATGGCACCTGCTCTTTTCCCTCTGTAAAAACTTCGTTGCACACACCACAGGGGCCCGAATGAAGTGCCAGACATCAGTCCCCTAGTGTCCCCATATATCTAGCTGAGAGAACGCACAGTTTTTTACGTTGCACCTAAGAGGTTATATAATAGCAAAGATAGTACATAACAAGATGGGCCACTTCTCTCTTTGAGCCAATTAAAAAAAGTGTCCTCAAAATTTGGTGGCGCCCTCTTCACAAAAGCGCACTCTTTGCGAACAGAGTTACCCCACTTGAGATGTACAAAATCAAAGTGAAACTAGCATGTTTTGGGATAAATTTCGGAAGAACGCTTTTTAAAAATGGTTACGCTGACAAAAAACCTCTTCCGGAGGAAAGGGTGATGGCTTTCTTCGTTTAATTTGACTTTAGAATGAAAGGCAAGAGGTAATTAAAATAAAAAAATCCTAAAACTCCGCACTGAACGTACCCGAACTGCTGATGAACAGCAGTCGATCTGCGCACGCAAGGAGGTGCTATTTCCTATTCTTCTTTTGGAAAAACGAAAGAGAGCTTCAAAACAGACTGCAGCGCCATCTGAAGCAAAGAGCATACTTCCTGCGGACACTTTTTTGGCTGAGTGGCCCATCTTGTTATTTACTATCTTTGATAATAGTACTTCTTTGCGTTGCCCCAAAGAGGTTGTAAATAGTACTATTATAACCTCTTTGCGTTGCCCTTAATTTTGTTCCAGATGTAGTCAAATGGTGCGCACCATAGTGAATTGGGATTACGTCAGAATATTGTGGTGTATTTTAGTGCAATGCTAGCAAACGACTCCTAGCCTTTGGTTTGTTTTGGTTGTGAAGTTATTAGGAGTTAAAAACCAAAGGTAAAAGTCATCTCTAGTCTAACGACAACATGTCATGTAAGTGCAGTTTCCAAATTTTTAAAACTTTTGAATCTTACGTTTCTGCTTGCATTGCCTATGCTTACGTTATTATTGTTTTGTTTGGGGTTTATTTCGCAGACGGAGCCATACGGATGGCACAATATGTAAATTAGTTTGGCTAAAAGTATTGGAAAAGTCCAGATTTTTTTCCAATCCTCTGTCTCACTCCGTCGGGCATGAAACATTTATTGCACTCTTTATGTTGGTAGACTATGATTTAACCTACTTGAGAAATTGCATGTTGTAATCATTCGTTGAAACTTATGATTACAACTTGGCAATTTTACTCGTAGGATGAATCATGCTCTACCAACGAAACTCGTGTAATATTTTCTTTATGTTGTATATTTTTGTGCATCCTTCTCTGTTGGTAGTTGTGACTCAGTAGGCTGCAAACTTGATTGCAATGATATGATATAATTGTTTTACGCCTTCTTCAAGACAATTTAGATCATTAAAAAAAGACTAGATGCTTTGACCTTGGCGTTCGGGTAAACCCTGGACTGAAATATATATAATATACAGCATCCCAGCAGACAGACTTAGACACTCGACAAAATGTTAGGCATCATTGTGAAATCAGGTGGTCGTCAAATTAATGATATCGAAAAGAACAGCTTTTTTCTGCTGGTTTTGCAGATTAGTGTGTGTGTGTGTGTGTGTGTGTGTGTGTGTGTGTGTGTGTGTGTGTGTGTGTGTGTGTGTGTGTGTGTTTATGTGTGTGTGTGTGTGTGTGAGTGTGTTTTTGTTCAACACCTTTTTTGTCTATTTAGATACAACTATCAGTGTGGATTTTACTGAAAAATGGTGATTAGAGGCACGCAATAAATAATATTTCAGTTCACAAGGATTCTCAAGCTATGGAAATTACCTAACTTTGGCGCCATTTTATCGATAATTTTACCCCTGAAACCGAGTGACCCCGACCTTCTTCAATAGGAAATATCTCGACTTCTCTTCAAGATAGATTGATATTTTTTCATCAAATGCAAGACAGATGAACAACCTTTAAGATGGTATTTTTCCTCAACATACCCAATAAATATTAACGAGCGCCTGATTCTACCGCGTCCTGACACAAATGTCTTCATCCACATGAGAGCTGAACGCAGGTTTTCTACACACGCGAAGAGCGTGATCATTACATTACAGACACCGATACGAAATAGATATAAGAAAAGATAAGATAAGATGTATGGGATAAGATAATACTTTACTGTCCATGTGAGCAATTTTCTGTGACTCTTCAGAAATGGTAAAACGCACGAAGGTAGATATTATGAAGAATTTCAATATATATATAACTTTGATAAGAAAAATAAAGCTGACAAAATAGTACAATGTACATACACACCACACGCTTCTCTCAAACTAACAAAGAATAATATAGAGTTTGAGAGTTAGAACATATTATGCTCCCCCCCCCCCTTCTTCTTACATTTCCTGTTCTGTGCGCCGTTTGGGGGACAAGTTCTACTTTTCAATATGAGTTCCTGCATTTACGAACAAAATTTCATTTCAGCAGCAATTTAATGTCTCTTAAATATCTTCACCGTAACTTTGTCATTGCTGGCCTGGCTGCGCGCTATTTAGACAGTACAATGTATCATAGTGAAAAACAGCGTTGCCGACCGTGGTTCGAATCCCCAATAGGGCTGTCTCGAACTTGGGTTTTTTGGAGGTGTTTTCCCAAGGTTTTCCACTTTCTTGGATCGGCCCTGTTGCAGAGAGACGTTAACTTCCTAGGTGCAGCCTCTTAAATTTTCTTACCGTGTAGTTAAAGGGTGGATAGATCCATGCAACACCAATGTCATTGCTGGTTTGTCGTCTACATAAATATAGTTAGGCCAATCATTGATTAATTAAATACACTATGCTATGGCACCCTTTGTAGTTTGTCATCTCCATAAATATAGTTAACTCAGTTATTAGTTAAATGCATATTCTATGGCGGCCCTTATGGTTTGTTGTATCCATCTATATCGCTTACTCGGTCATTTATTAAAGACAGTCATGCTATGGCATCCTCTGTGGCGCCTTGGTGGAATCACTTACTGCTGTCTGTATCTGCTGGCTGATAGCCATATGCCCATTTTACTGCAGTAAGAATAGTTACATATTGGAGTATTTCCAAACTTGATTAATCAATTCAGGCCAAATGCACTGTGCCACAGTAACCACATAACCCTTGTTATCAGTACCTGTATTTTAATCTGATTGAATCTCAGGCATGTCTATCTAAGAAGAGTCCGGTCTGAGAATTAAATACTTACTCTACTTTTATTTTTTCATCCTCTGTTGCCGTTAAGCATCGAGGGGAAATGCAGTTTTCTATGGTAGTGAGAATTAAGATTCCCCATCTGGTCCCCCAACCAGGAGAGCGACTGCAACAGAATTCTCGGGCCAGGCGCACGACTGCGCCAGATGGTGACCAGAACGGATATTTTTCAGCAGCGCATTATTGCGACAAGTGACCCTTTAAATAGACCCTCAAAACTCTTCTGATTTATGCCAGATTTCGAAACGACCTTCTCACGCCTACTAATACACCCTCTCCCCCTAAAAAAAGCAAGTAACAAATAAAGTATAAAGTAAGCAAAAGAAAACAAACAACCAAAAAAAACCCTGAAAACAAAACAAAACAAAAACAAAATATAAAAGAATGACATGTTTTTTACGGCTGTTGTTTGCAACGGGGTAGACTTAGTAACTGCCTCCGGAATGAACATATTTAAGCTAACTTTTCCCCGGTCTGATCATAATAGATAAACATTAATTTAGAATTGGTGTTCCTTATCTCTATCAAAGATTCATTTATTTTGTAAACACTGTTCTTCTCTCATTTTAAGGGGAAATGTGGGTGGGGGGGGGGGG